GGGGGGGGGGGGGTTGGAACGAAGAGGAAAAATAAGAGGAAAGAAGTAAAAAAATTCTCCGCACGCATCACACAATGTGAAGACAAGCTGGCACGGCTTGTTTCTCGCGCCCCCACCCGTCACCCCTCCCCGCCGCGCTTCACCATCGTTTGTATGTATGTATGTGTGTGTGTGTGTGTGTCCATGTGCAAAAAAAAAGGCACAAATTCGCCACTAAACACCGTGACCATGACAATATGTTTTGCCCTTGTCTTTTCCATTCACTCTCTGAGCAAGTCAGTGAGTGAGTGGGTGGGCCTGTGGTCATACCTGGCTGTACGACATGCCTCCACATTCGCCCTCCCCGTGCCGGCCACCTCAGTCCGATGCCACCATCGTGATTCGGGCCAGCATCGAGGCAAGCTGCAGCGGCGTCCCGACGCCTTCCGCGATCCGCATCGTCGTTTCCCCGATGATGCGCAGCACCGTCAGCTGCTGCTGCTCGTCACGGAACAACTTCGGGTTCTGTGCTGCCCTAAAAAAGGTGGAAATGACATCGGACGCCGCGTAGCCACGACCCAAAAGCCGCTGCAGCTCCTTGTGCGCCCCCGCCAGGTTCTTCTCCTGCAGGCAGCAGCCCATGATGCTCTCCACGAGCAGCGGGTGCGGCTGGTCACACACCTTGAACACGTTCTCCGCATTCACCACACCGTAGCCGGAACACGTCGCCTGCAAGGCATTCACTGCCGAACGAAGATCACCCTCCGCCAAGTACAGGAGGGCCTCCAGCCCGTCATCGGTGTAGGTGACGTTTTCCTGCTGAATAATGTACGTGAGTCTCTTCAAAATGTCCGTGTGGGTGAGTTTCTTGAAGCGCACCACCGCGCAGCGTGACTGAATGGGCTCAATGATCTTGTGGCTGTTGTTACAAGCAAAGGCAAAGCGCGTCGTGCTGGAGTGGAGCTCCATAGTGCGGCGCAGAGCCTGCTGTGCTGCCGGTGTCATGCTGTCCGCCTCATCCAAAATAACGATTTTATGGAGGTTTATCTTCTGTTGGTTGTCGTCACTCACCTTCTGCGGGAGTGTCTTCTTTGTCTGCGCGAACAGCTTGATCTTCTCCCGCACCACATCGAGGCCTCGATCGTCACTGGCGTTGAGCTCCAGCACGGCCTCCTTCAAGGCAGCGCTGCCACCCTCCCGGTCGCTCAGCAGGCTTCGGGCGAGGCAGAGCATGCTTGTCGTCTTGCCCGTGCCCGGCGGGCCGCAGAGGAGGAGGTTCGGCAGGTTGCCCTCCTTCGCAATCACCTGCAGCCGCGCAACAGCGTCCGCGTTGCCGACGATGTCCGCCATCGACTGCGGGCGGTACTTCTCCACCCAAGGCACCACCTGCTGCGCCATCCTGGATGTTAATGTCCGCTGCCGCTACCCTTGCTGCTGATGCGTCCCACACGCTCTGGTAGGCCTTCTATGGTAAAGGATGCGATATCCCTTTTTTTTTTTGTTCCCTTGTGTGTTCTTTCTTCCCTCCTCCTATTTTGCCCTTGCCCACTGCTTCGACTTACGCGCTTTTCTGTGGTGGGGGGCAGCAAACACACACGCACCTTCAGCAGTGAGGCGGAAAGAAGAGAAAGGGAGTGGTAATGCTCACACAAGGGCGGAGAGCACAGAAGCCCACAAGCACACACACACACACGCACGCGCAAACACACAACAAGCGTGCGAAGAGAGGTGATGAATGCTCGGTATCAATGCCTGCTAGACGTCCTGTAAAAATGACGCCACGCGTGCGCCAATGGCGGCGCCAACGACGGAGCTCACGCCGCACGTCGGGGATGGCACGACACTGGCGTCGGCGACGTGCACGCCCGTCACGCCCCTCACCCGCAGAGCGTTGTCAACGACGCTGCCGAGCGCACACGTGCCGTAGAGGTCGCCGGTGCTCTCCACGTGCTGTGCGAGGAAGGCGGCGGTGTCACGCTGCGTCTGCAGCCCGCGTGGCGGGTGCCGCACGTGCACGCCAAG